TACGCTGTTCCCTCTCGAGATTCTGTCTGAGGACAAATCACATCACAGGAGATTATCCCAACAGCATAGGCTTGGAAAGGCAGTAAACATCCGCTATGTGGAACTACTTTACTTTGACGGCTTTTTATAAGGGATCTAAGAACTGTGACGTTTGCCAATTTTTCATGGAATGCATTTGTATCGGGCTGAGTTTATCTCTTTAAACGTGATGGTTAAAAAATGAGAGCCAGGAGCTGTGGTGACCACCTCTTAGCTTAGGACTGGATTTGGACAATATCTGAAATAAATTGGCTTATGAAAATTGCAAGAAGCATCTCCAAATCTTTAAGGAAAGTCTTTTTTCAATACTTCAGGTTCATCTGTGCCTAAAACCTTCACCCATTTAAGAATGAAACTTAAATGGACAATAAAAAAGGATGCAAGATGTTCATGAATCAGTTGAAAAATTATCTGCTTTAAACACATGTTGGAAACTGAAGTTACGCTCATTGTATAATCAGTCAAAACTTCCCCTTTTAGGCTGCAGATTATGTTTTGTATGTGTCGAGGTTTACAGACCAGTTCAATAGTTTCTCAGCTAAGGAAAAAATCCTTCACTGCACGGCAGCACTTGGCCAGGTGAGACAAATCATTGTGGCAGGCCACTCTGGGGATACAGCTTTTCCATGTTCTCGTCATAGGCTTTTATTGAGCAGTTTACAAGTTATGAATGAATATGTTTTATTTGAGAACATAATATTGACAGCGACCTATCAATAGTAATGTGACTATTGTCAAGGGCCTGTCAATAGTAATGTAATTATGATTTAGAGGATCACATAGATGTTAGCTCGGGCAAGTAACATCTCTTATAGGACTGCTATCAATATCAGGATTACTATTGACATGTTCTCTCAGACTCAAAGTACTCGCCAAATATATAATAACTAGACACTTTTGTCAATGTGCACTGCCTATAAAAATTAAGCATTTGAATGTACAGGGCTTTAACCGGAAAGCTGAAAATCCATGTGTCTTATGTAATCGGCCAAATTCGTAATCAATGGCTGTTTACCTCTTTTGTAATCAGAAGACCTGGCCAACATAGAGCGCAGTGATTCATACACGTTTACAGTGCCACTACAGTGCACTCGAAAAAAAAAAAAAATCAGTGACAAATAGCCAATGAAAACGTGGCCTAGCTAAACCAATAGAAGTCTGAATAAAAAACTGGAAACAATAAGTATATTTGTAAACTGATTTTCTCATTAGCTATATATTTCAACAATATGACCGCTCTGTTATTTATAACCCTACTGCAATTTACAGTTGAATTTTCTAGGAAATGGAGCCCATCTTCAGGCTGCAAAATGGATGGGGAACATGCATATAAGGTTATATCAGCCAAGTCAAGGTCCTGACAAGCAGTCTTAAATGACAAATGCCTGACACCGGCACGGGCTATAAAACATGTTCTCCTGAGGCAGCCCACTGGAGGCTCAGGCCTGCAGTTCTGCAGCTGATAAGCTGGGTCACAGAGTCACCTTGGGCTTAGCATTACAAGGCGGCAGGCCATGATATTCCTGCAGCGACTGGGCAATTTTGAATCTGGAGATTTTTAGGAAGCCTGTGGTTACGTGACCTTGCTTTTGACATTCTGTCAGCTTTTGCATCTTTGGGGCAAGTCGGAGAAGAACTTACATCTGTTTATTTAAACAACAACATATTTTTACATTGCTATAGTTTTTGCTATATTATATATATATCCTCCTGAGAACCAGAAATAAAAAGCCTTGTGAATTTAGTATTTTTTCATGTCATTACATTGTTTAGAGCATAAGAAAAAAATGGTTATGTTATATTATTATATTTATGTACGTATATTATGTTACATTATAAGTTTAGGGTCAGTAAGAATTTTAAAAATGTTTTGAAAGAAGTCAAAATACAGTAAATAGTAATACTGTGAAATATTATTACAATTTGCAATAACTGTTTCTATTTTAATATATTAAAAAAAAAAAAAAATTCCTCAGTGATGACAACACTGAATTTTCAGCAGCCATTACTGCAGTCTTTAGTGTCACATAATCCTTCAGAAATCATTCTAATATGCTAATTTGGTGCTCAAAAGTTTTTTTGTTATTATTATCAATATTGAAAATATTTGTGCTGCTTAATATTTTTATTGAAACCATGATACATTGTTTCAGGATTCTTTGATGAATAAAAAGCTAAAGAACAACATTTGAAATTATAAAATTATAAATGTATTTTCTGTAAATTATGATCAATTTAATGCATCCTCGATAAAACAAATAATTTCTTAAAAAAAAAAACTGACCCCAAACATTTAAAAAGCATATTACATTATATCTGATGATTAAAATGATATAAAAATATACGTATTTGCCAAATATTTCAGTGCCTTTTATAAAAATGAAATGACATGCCAGAGGGGTTTTATTATCCTTTGCTTAAACGTGTCAATTTGTATTTCCAGTGGCAGACGAGGTGTCACTCAGTCAAAAAATCCTTTCTTAAACCTTCGCTTGCTTTAATCATTTGAGTGATTAAGGTTACAGAGCTTCGGCACCCTTTTCAGCTGGCAGAAGAATTAGCAAGTCTCCTTGTTTTGCATTCAACTTTTAACTCTGTCCCAGAAGTATCTGAATATTATTATGAACACTGATGGATCTGTCAGTTTCTGAATTTTAAAGGTGATGTCATCCTGAAATGGGATTAGGACTGCTAAAATAGCCATCCTGTGCCCGTTCTAATTGTTCTACGTCTGTATCATAAAATATGAATGTCTGCAAAAGCACTTGGGGTTCAAGGTCTGGTCCTAATGTCTCATCAGACTGCCCCATTTCTAATTACCAATGAATCGCAAGAGCCCCGGTCTAACAAAACTTAACGTCTAAGAAATAGCAGCTAGGTCTGACACAAAGATATGCTTTGCTAAATCTTGTTTGCACAAAATGTAAATTATTTAAAAGATTTAATTGATTTTGTGAGTATGAAGGTGGAAGATTTAAAGCCTTAAGTACAGAGTTAGGCAGAAAAAAACAGCTTAAAAACTCATGAAACATTTAAAGGCTGAGGCAGCAGGAACGACTGAAGAGAACAGTTATTAAATGAGAAAATTGTGAAGGTGCATATTATGGTGTACAGAGGGCAGTCAGGCTTTGCTGTGTCCACAAAGAATCTCCGCTTCAATACATTTGTCTTGTAATTTTTCATCACCTTTATGAGATGATGTATTTGCATAAAAACAGCATTTCATCTTTTTACAATAACCATTTTCTTCTATTTAAAAACACCATCCTTATTCCATGACACCACACCACAAACCACTGCCCTTAAAATCATGTTTATGTACGAGAATTGTTTTTCTTCTCACCCTCATCCAGATTTGGCTTAGCAAGGCCATGTAATGTAATAATAAAAGCCTCCCTGTTTATATGGAAGCAGCAGCTTGGTAAACATTTTACCCCCAAATGGAAGAAAGACTCAAGCTCAGTTTCAAACACATCTGCAAAACGACCCAACAATATAGTGTGCTTTTTAAATTTGAATCCATTTAAATGCAACACTGGCACAAATCTATAGGCAACCTTTTAACCTGGGCTGAGATCATACTGCAGTCTGTCTTTAACTCCATTCATTATGTTAAGTGTGCTATGCGCCACTTAGAGCTCAATCAAATCCACAGCAATCAGCTGTCCTAATTCTGTACGATGACGGCATTTCTGATCACTCTAAAACTTCATACAAAAATGTACACTCTAAAGTCAGTAAAAACACATCCAATAATGTACTGTGTTAATTTGCACACTTGCGTGTATTTACAGTGTACTTACCTAAGAAAGTACTAGTAATATAGGGTAACTACATGGGTTAAGATTAGGTTCAGGGTTACAGTAGTAGCTAGTAAATAAAAGAAACAAAAATCATGCCTCCATGCTTTGATTGGCTGATCATGCTGTTGACAAGCTAATGTTTGTTATTTTATGATGGTCTAACAGGTGTGCAAATAGACCTGAATGGGTCAAAGTGGTGAAAATGAACAAACTAATTACAAAGTAAACAACTACCCCACTCTGACATCAACACATCTGGTCAAGTCCAAATATAAATGAACTGGGAATTACTGGAAACACCAAATGATCTGTGAGCTTGTGGTTTGAGTATCTGATGAATAATGATCTGAAAAGGTGACCATTATTATATCCTAATAATATATCATAAAGTTGACGATTATAATATCACAATCACAGTTGGTAATAAATAGATTAAAAAAGAAATATACTTAATATTGTTGTTACTGTATTATTATTATTATTATTATAAATATTAATATTCTTATTTACGTAAAACATAAACGTGATGAGATCTAATGCAACATGGTTAATAACAAGAATGCTATTGTTAACATAAACAATACAATTATACAACAAAATAATAATATATTAGTTTCTTGTCGACCACGTACATTGAATTCGTGTATTATGCATCGATAACACGCACAAACCTAATGTTAGATTGACTGGGGAGAAAACGATGCTCTGTCCTGCATTAAACTAAATGCAACTTGATACAGAATGCTTTCTCACGATGTCTGGTTAACTGAGATTTGACAAGAGCAAATAAATTTAGTATAATTACCCATGATAAGACTGACAGTCCACGATCGGACTCGGTCGGAACTGAGGCGCTATTCTTCCTCTTTTTCCGGGTTATCTCGGTTAACCCCTCCTTGAAGCAGATGAGCCAATTGCAAATTGCATGTTCTCTGCACCCTTGATCACATGCATCCAATCGCAATATCTGATTGAGCGAGTCAAAATCGCATCGCGCTGTGCATGTGGGAGAGGCGTTGCTTCACGCAAGTCTTCATGCGTTGGCGTCTGACAAAAAACCTCCCAATCAAAATCGATAGCGCTGTTCTACAGCATGTTTTAACGAATCGCTATCAAGCAGGGGCGGGCTCTAATGAGCAGCAAGTGTTCAAGCACGGAGATTGTTTGTAACAGAGGCATAAGGGGAGAAAAGAAGTGAAACGTTCGCACTCATAAATGCGCATTCAGGCGCCATAGTAACACGGTTTACTAAAATGTAAAGCATTTTCTTCAGTTTTACATTTTGTTTTCCTTGGAAAACGTCGTGTCAAATGTGCAACTGTTCTGTTAAATGCTCTCCGCACTTGCATAGTTCACGTAATATATCATCAGAGAGTACGTCTGTTTTGTGTGTGTGTGTGTCTATCTATCTATCTATCTATCTATCTGTCTGTCTGTCTGTC